CTTATTTTTAGATCTTTGATCTTAAGAGGAAATCTAATTTTACTCTTATCTCTTGGTTGATTCGAATATTGTATAAAGAGGTGTTAGTTTGTTTGATTCAAATGTTTTTTCTTCGACAAAGGCCTAGATTATTGGGTTGAGGATTCGAATTACCTATCACAAGGCCATGTTATGGTTTTAGAGGATAGGTCTTATCCATGCAAGACATTACTAACCACAATAGTGGGGTGACTAACTAAGTATTTCTTACGATACTGAAGTAATATGCTACTCTTATTTTTTTAGGTAAAGGCAAAATTCCCTTGCATGGATGACAGTGAGTGCTACTCTTATTTTCTGTGGTGATACATTTGTTTCGACATGTTAGTTCTAATACCAAATGTTGGTTTTGACGGTTGATCTAAGTACACTAAAATAAATAACTAAAATAAAAAAGAATAATTTGAGGGAGAGTTTCTTTGTAAATAACTTAAGGCCTATGCTTTTAAAATTCCTTTTGTTGTTGTGAATGAAGTGTACATTTGAAGACTATTTCACCCTATAAAACACTGGCTAATATCTACACAAGTTAATATCTACTAATAATTCTCCTGAGCAAAACACTTACCATTTTTTTACTTAATTGATTTCTTACTTACCCACGTGAATTTGAAAATTCCTCCACCACAACCACTGCCATAACTGTTTTTTCCATTTCTCAATTTTTATGCATGATTAAGACTTTAGAAGGGCAATTTGTATGAGAATGCAATTTATGATGTGAAAAATGAATGAAATGGCCTTAGTATGAGAATTTTAAAATGTATGTTTTCCAAATAATTTTCATTGTATTCTAGGTAGTTGATGGTTGTTATCTCTTCAGTGAGCTTATATGTATGCTTTTTGAGAATACGTTAAGTGCTCAAGATTATTGAATGACATTATTGCCTAACTGAGTTGGCTTGTATATTTAGAGAATGAATACTTTATTCTAATTGATTGATAGCATTATCTCCCCAAGAAAACTTACATGAATATGCTGAGTTAAGGATAGAGAACTAGAGCTAGAATGGTTACCTTGACCTAGGTGAAAAGTTTTCCAGTAGACTTAGAACCCTAGAATCGTGAGCAACAATCAATGGTAAAAACCTTAATGTTCCCAAAATTAGACTAGCTCATCTAGAATGTCCTAATTATGTGAGTTCAAGAATTAAACCATCTAGATGCCCTATGTCACAACCCAAAATTTGAATCTCGAAATCAAGGGCTAGACGAACCGACTATGCAATGAAATTGTGTAAAAGCAAATAGAGAAGATGAGATTACAAAAAAAAAAAAAACTTTAGCAATTATGTAAAAGGTTTGAAATCCGAAACAAGGTGTTCAAGTATGAAAAGTATGTAAATGGTTTACAAAACAATGCATGACAGATCTAAAAAAAATTATGCACAGACTCCTAGACGCCCTGGGACACTCCTTTGTGGCATTAAGATTCAGCATGCATTCCCGCCTCGATCCATGACATCACTCACCTGAAAAAAAAGAGTAGAAAGGAATGAGTATAAAAATACTCAGTAAGCAGCCTACTTGTAGGCTTTTTTCGCATACTTATCTTGGTGGGTAACCATGGTCTTTCTCGGGTTTCTAAGGAGAGGGATCTAAGCTGCAACTCTATTTTCTGTATCTTAGGAGGCTTGCCCATCTTAAGCAGTGAAATGATCAGTGTCCTGAGGTGAGGCGCAACCTCATAAGTAAATCTGAGGGGATTGTATGGCTGGATCTGAAAACATGACTCTCTCTGAACATCATCCATGGAGGCTAACTGACGACCCTCACACGGTACCATACATCCACTAAACGGGGTGCGACTGCTTGTGTGCCGGTCAGCTACTTAGTCATCCTATGTGGCTCCACGTCCCCCGCTCAGGGACGAGTTTCTACGGCCCAAGAGTCCTGTTTAGAAGACCCCTTAGCTATCACCACTAGGTCTGGGCACTTGTCACACTTCCCTATCCGGATTTGCTAAGCTCAACAATCACCGTACCGGAGCTCTGTCTTGACGGTACGATATCGAAGGAGAGAGGGAAGTGGAGGTTCTGATGACACTATCTACACTGCTCAACTCTAGCAGGCTACCTATAGTTACCGTGGTGACCTATTATTCTTTCTAGGGTGGAACCTGGTGGCTTAGGCTTGGATTCGTGTATCTTTGGGATTCTCGTGCCTGGTCTCACAAACCTATTGGGTTTGGAATTCTGGGCTCTGGATCCACCGGTAATCATTTCGTGGGTCTAAATGCACGGTATTCTAGGTCCCCCATTCTAGGGTCTCGTCTAGCCTACTTAGTCACAAGCACACTAATCTAAGCTCATAATTTCTTCCTATTCATCAAGAAAGATAACACAAACATTCATCATGCATAAGAGTTAACATGCAGCAGTTCATGCAATATTAACAAACATGCTCAACGGGAAGATAACGTCCATCTTTACCCGGAGCGCAGATTTCACAAGTTTCCCATCCTTCTCATGCATACATACTTTATCAGATTCTCAATCAAACAGATTTAATAAACATTTAATAACTAGCTTTCCTTAATCATATCATTTTCGCAGTTCCCATACTAATATACTAGGTCCGGCTAGCTAAGGTAATGGGTGGTAGCATGCATGCTTGTTCCTAAAGGTCCCTACAAGTACTGCTCGTGGGAATCCAAATGACTACTTACATGGTTGACGCGTGCCTTCCCGAGTTCGAGTTTTCTTGACGGAATTGTTTCCAACAATTCTGGAATTTCCTTCACAGGTCCTAATTCACATAATAATAAGGTCAGCATTAAAATCTGGTCGGAAAACAAGCAAACAGAGACCGAACAAGAAGAAAAACAATGCCTCACGCGCCCCCACGCGCGTCACACGCGCCCTAGAGGGTCTCTAAGCGCGTGTGCCCACGCGCTACTTCCCGAGCAAACACGGGGTCAGAGGCACCGGGTCGGGCGGTTCGCTTGCGATGCGGGTCGGTGGCACCAGGTAGGGCCGACCGGATCTGCGTGCCTGACGCGTGTCCGCTGCCGAGTGAGGACGCGCCTCACCAATCGGTGATCGACACGTGTCGATCACTGGCTCCGCCACGCTCCTTCGCACGCCGGCAAACGCGTGGCGGCGTCTCCAGCCTCCTACGTTTTTTTTTTCCCATTTTCCAGTCCTCTTTCGCGTTTCGATCTATTTTCTTCTGATTTTTTTATCTTCCAATCCGTAATCCGATTCCACAAATTTTCTTCACGAACCTTGTAGATCTCATATTCTTCTCCTTCGAAATAATTTTCTTATATTTTTCTGATAATTACAGATCTTAATATTTGAGTTCGAGTTCAAAGAAAAACACGAGTTCTTACCGAAAATTGCGTTTTCTTAAAACTCTAATTCGAACGCCAATCTTGGCCGACTTCACTCCGAAAGTTAACCAGATAACGTTGTTGAGGGTAAGAGTCCAAGAATCAACACAAAACGTCGCTAACACACGAAAATCTTGATGATTTCTCGATCTAGACACTCGTGGACTAACCTGAAGTTCTTGGACGTTTTGATGAAATAGGAAGGTGCGATTCGTGAGAGCACCTACCCTTGGACTATTGACGGTTTAGATTGGGGACTTGGATCTCTGGCGTCGGTTTTGATCTGATCTCCTCCTCCCTCCTCAAAAACCTAATCTTCTTTCCCTCTTCTTTCTCCTTTCTCCCCCCTCTTCTTTCTCTTTTCCAAATTATGCCTCAACCAAAACAGACCCCTCAAGTAATGAGGGCAAAATGACTAGTTTGCCCTATTGTGACTTGAATTTTTTTTTTTAATACTCGGGCGCTACAACCTAAGAACCAAGTAAATCTCCACGTTATCCAAGAAAAGTTGAGAAAGTTTACAAGGTTGCAAGTAGAGTGAAGGGTACACTGGAACCCGATTTCCTTCTATTTCCATCGGTACCTTCAATAGCACTACTCAATGACCTAAGTTGAACCTAGTAGTGCTCTTGTCACGCGGTAGGTATCTATAAACACATACTATCGAGTTTGACTAAAATCACATAAGATGATGACATGTGTGGCTACGTGAAGAGTTACAATCGTGTGTAGAAATGGGTCAAGAACCAAAACCACAATTTCATAAACCCGTCATGAGAATGGAAGAGGGACTATCTAATTAGTTGTAATCTAAGTTCAATAATTTTGTGACTATTAACTAAATGCTCAGCAAAAAAATAATGAAAGAATAAAACAAATGATTTTCAAACTTGAAGGGTCAGAGAGTCCCTCAGCTTTTCTTTTATAGACTTTATTTATTTGTTCTATTTTTAAAATTAGTTCAGAGTGTTTTATCTTATCAACTTCTCTTTCTTATAACATTATTTCCTTCCCTTCATTTTTTTTTTCTTTAATCATAAAAATCTTCAAAATCTTAAAAACTATTTTGATTCCAAATAAAACAAAAGGATTTTCTAAATCGAAAATGGTAAAAAGAACCCTTGGGTTTTCCTGAAATCTTTATTGAAATGGCCAAATCTAGATTAAGGAAGAATAAAGAACAGAAAGTAATTAAAGGCAAGAGGAAGAAAGTTGTTTGCGAAAAGCAGAGCCCCTTCACATTGTGACAAATGGAAGTTGGTCATCACCTATGAAGGAGAGGTTAATGTCTTGTAACACTATGCCTTCCGCGGAGAAGAACTTGGCTGCGTTCAAAATTTACTGTCACTTGAGATGTTGAACTCCCCCTTATGCCTTCATATCCCACGTCTCTAATTTACACTTTTGAGTTATTCTATCAACCACAAACTACATTTTACTTTCGAATCATTCACTATTTATAGTTTTACTAAAACCGAACGACTATCAAATTTAAATATATGTACCATTTTTTGTTCGTCGCAGTCCGTGCAATATTTTTTATCAATGATGATAGGATTTTTTACATCCTTCATTCTAGCGATCTTACTAACAAAACTAGAAAATGAAGTTGACCATGTATTGATGCTCACACCGTGCCAACAAATGTGGAGTCTCTTACTATGACTTCAGAGACATCTTCTTCATTTTGGTACTTTCCGAGGCTACCGATGCTAATTCCATGACCTGGACCACACTGGACGTCTGTTATGTTGATGAATTTACTTCCAGGGCCTAGAGAGATGCAATCATCTCCGGTGCCAATCACTGAATGCATAATGTTGACACCACTTGAGTTTGAAACGTGAATTCCATCTGTATTGGGGCTATCTACTGGAGCTATCACTGTAACGTGATCAAATGTGACATCACAACATCCATGCACAGCAAAATGAAAAAACTTGCTATTGGACGATGTTATCTTTGCAATTCTCGCAGTGTTGACATTAAAAAGTTTCCTAGTCTACATTGAACCAAACATTATATCATGCACAAATATATTTTGGTGTACAATCCATTTAACTGCTAACCTAACAAATCAATTTCTTTTTTATTATTTAAACCTAAAAATAGACTTACAATTGGACGGTTAGAAGTGTTGGAAGACCAAGCTGAAGAACCACCCCCGTTCAAGCTTCTAGGACCGTCAACGAAAAAGGTGTCGACTTGATAAATACTGAGCCAATATTCACCAATGGCGAAATTCTTGGCAACGGGAGCCAACAGCTCACCTTTAATATCCAGACCAATGGATCCTTCCGTACTAAAACTCCACCATCTCCATTATGTCCATAAGCTTCCTCCATGCGCTACTTGATGCCTATACAAACCAAATAATCTAATCTACTTTCAACCAAATACCTTAAATTTTAAATTTTATTATTTTTGACAAATTATTAAACGTTTTTTTAGTGTACCGCTCAATTTACCATAAATAATATAAAAATTATTTTTACAACTAAATTTTCCTTTAGATATTTATTATGCTGATGAATAATCCAAAAACAATATATATATATATATATATATATATATATATTTTAGTTTTAAAAATTTGTTTTATAGACCTGAAATAGATAATAAAACAAAGAAAAAACCAAAAACAAAAAACTAGGCTTAAACTCTTTCAAAAATTGTATCCCATTTCGAAAATGGTATTTTTAAAATAATGTTTCTAATGCTTCTATTTTTCAAAAACTTTTAGAAGAATATAAAATGAAAAATAAAAATGTTACCAAAGATATGAAACATATGAGCATATGGTAAATATGAACAAAAAGTTGTTTGAATCAAATATAAAATTTTACCTTCGTGCTATCCGTTTTTTATCGGGTTTTGCACCAAATTAGATGATATCGAACACTTTAGGTTGGGAATAACATTTAGGAATGGAAAGTAAGATGATAACGAAAACTAAACATCCAATCTCTGATAAATTCAAATTCATTTTCTTTTCTCTAAGATAATTGATTTTTTTGTGTTTACTTTTCTTCATTATTATAACAATATTTTAACAGCTAAAAAGGAAGTCCATTGAGATTTTATTCTTCTATTGCAAAATCATGACATTGAAATTAGTGTCAATGAAGTTTGTAAGGAAAAATATCACTCTTATCTTTCTCAAATTCTCGATTTCCTAATGGTTATCGTTGTCCAGATAAGCCAAGAAATCGTCAGCCATAGCAACAACATTGGAAATATATAGAACCTCTAAAACTTGAGCACCTCAATTATTTGTATATTCGGCTCCATGTCATACTCGAAAGCCTTTCAAAACAAATGTCACGACCTAGGTTTCGAGGTTTTAATTCATAGATCGTGATATGACTTACAAATTAAAAGTTTAAAAACAAACATCAAAATATTTAAAAGATGAAAACAAAACATTTACAAATTAAACTGTTGTTAAAAGTTTATTATAAAATAAAGACCAGGGAGTAATACACAATAATAAAGGACAACAACCCCTAACATATAGGACTAACGCCCACCATGACCCTCATTTGTGACCATGTAGCTATTGAACATTCCCCACCTTTGCTATCAATCTGTAATCCCCTAAAAAAGAATAGTAGTTTTTGGTTAGTATAAACATACTAAGTAAATAAACTTTTTGTAGACTCTAATCATATCTTTGACCTAGTAAGTTATCACAATCTTTCATCTAGACTTTAGAAAGTTAGGGCCTAGGTTTTACAACTATCTCGGAGGCCTCAAAGTTTCAAACAAATGCTCTTGCTTGACACATACCAAATCGGGGACTGAACATCATTTTCTTTCTTTCATCAAACCCAATAGGGGTTTGAAAGTTATTCATCTCTTATGGCATCATGGATCTACTATACCATATATCTGAGTTCTTTAAACTTAGCTAGTTTACATTTCCATGGGAGTGAATCATCGTTATCCTAGATCTGGGAGACGAGACCTCATCACAATCATCACCAAGCAAGAGAAGTAACAAGATGAGATGAAGAGGGTTGGAATAGAGGTTGTAGCCAAAGGTGGTACCGCTCAGATTGCACAGATGACCATGCAACCCACCCTACAAAAATGAGTTATTGATGTCCAGAAGTCTAACGAGCACCTCAGCAAAGGGTGGAATTAGACAGAAACAAAGAGATAACGAGGTATTCAATCTCTTCAAACACGGGCTTGTTGTGGCAAAATAGCCTGTGTGTTCCCCAAGATGAAAAAATGCTTAAAGACATCATGACTAAAGCCCATGATACATCTTATATGTTCCACATAGGAAGTACGAAAGGATGATATTGGTTATTAGAGATGAAGAAAGACATGGCGGATTTCATAAGTTAATACTTGACTTCTTAGTAGGTGAAGGCCCCAAGACAGCGCCCAATAGGATTGCTACAACCCTTTAATATTCCTCGGTGAAAATGGGAAGCAGTTTGTATGGATTTCATCTCGGGTTTGCTAAAGACCAAGCATGGTTTTAACATAATTTGGGTAGTTGTAGACCGACTAACCAAGCAACTCACCTCATTTAAGGAAAGTCCATGTATCGAGTTAATCTGTGAACTCAATTATATGCGAGAGAGATAGTACGTCTGCACGAAGTACCATTCTCTATAGTGTCAAACTAGGATACCACGTTCACCTCACAGTTTTGGTAAAGTCTTCAGAAAGCGCTAGGAACTCAGCTAAGGTTTAGTGTACAACATTTCATCCTCCGATGGACAGACAGATTGAAAAGCTGAATTAGATCTCAGAGGACATGTTGCAAGCCTATCTCATGGATTTCTTTGGGTACTGGGACGAACATCCACCTCTTATGAAATTTTCCTACAATAACAGTTATTAAGCAACCATCCAGATGGCCCCTTTCAAGGCACTATATAGGCGTAGGTGTCGTACACCAATATTTTTGGGATAGGTAAACACGCAGCAATTATTGGGACCAGAGTTGGTTCATGTCACCAACACAATGGTGTAGAAAATTAAACAGAGGATACTTAAACAGAGTCAAGAGAAGAGCTATGCAAATTTGCGTAGAAGAGACCTCAAGTACAAATTGGGTGACCATGTGTTCCTGAAAGTAGCCGTTATGAGGGGGTGTTAGGTTTGGGAAGAATGGCAAGTTTAGCCCAAAATATATAGGCCCTTTTAAGATTCTAGAAAGATTTAGGTATGTGGTTTATAGAATTGGCCTACCACCAAACCTTGCCTGGAACACAAGCGTACCACCAAACCTCGCCGTCGTGCACATTGTGTTCCACTCGTCCATGCTGCGAAAGTACATGTCAGGCCCTACCCATGTGGTAGGACATGAAATGTTAGATAAAACCTGATTTTTTTGGATTTAGATTCACACGATTATATTAATTCCCGTTTGACCATTTGACAAACACGTCGAATGAATTAACTTAAGTTTTAGACGACAATTTTCTAGGAAGTGGCACACATTCAGTTGCCCCTCTCCAGCCATTTTTAGGATAGGTTTTATTTAAATAGGAAATCTGTTCAGAAGATTTGACAACAAGATTTGGAGCGCAGTCAAAATTTCATCATTCTCTCTCTGTGTTATTTTAAGCATTTTTTTTTTCTTCCAACAACCTCCCGTCGACAATTTCCTCTCACCGAAAAGAAAGGATTTCCTCGGCGATTATCCAAATCCAACAAGTGGTATTAGAGCCCGGTTGAAGCCATCGATGTATATCATTGCGGAGGAGCCAACCTATCAACAATCAAGTTGAATAGCTCAAGTAGTTAGAGCGTCGACCTAACAATACACAAGTCTTAGGTTCGAGATAGAAATCGTGAAGAAGAAGATGCGCTTGCACGCCTAAAGCTTCGTGACGACACCGGCGAAAGCAATGGGCCCAGCCCATAGGGCTCAAAACGGGAGTTCAAATGAAATAAGGTAGATATACCACAAGTTTTAGACGGCAATTTTGTAGGAAGTGGCACAGATTTAGTTGCCACTCTCCAGCCATTTTTAAGATGGCAGACCTATTAGGAGACCTATTAGGAAGAGGTGAAGAGGCGGCCGAACAAGACGTGGAGTCTGGAGGACATGCCGCCAGGGACACCGAGCGACCTATTAGGAAGAGGTGAAGAGGCGGCCGAACAAGACGTGGAGTCTGGAGGACATGCCGCCAGGGACACCGAGCCATAGGGCTCAAAACGGGAGTTCAAACGAAATAAGGTAGATATACCACAAGTTTTAGACGAGGTGAACCACCTGGACTGGCGGCGTGCCAACTCGAAGAAGAGGTGGCCGAACAAGACGTGGAGTCTGGAGGACATGCCGCCAGGGACACTGAGCCATAGGGCTCAAAACGGGAGTTCAAACGAAATAAGGTAGAGGTGGCCGAACAAGACGTGGAGTCTGGAGGACATGCCGCCAGGGACACTGAGCCATAGGGCTCAAAACGGGAGTTCAAACGAAATAAGGTAGATATACCACAAGTTTTAGACGGCAATTTTGTAGGAAGTGGCACAGATTTAGTTGCCACTCTCCAGCCATTTTTAGGATAGGTTTTATTTAAATAGAAAATATGTTCAGAAGATTTGACAACAAGATTTGGAGCGCATTCAAAATTTCATCATTCTCTCTCTGTGTTATTTTAAGCATTTTATTTTTCTTCCAACAACCTCCCGTCGACAATTTCCTCTCACGGAAAGGAAAGGATTTCCCTGGCGATTATCCAAATCCAACATGAAACACTTTCCCTTCAAAAAAAAAACTTCTTTGAATTCCCTGATGATGTACATTGGCTAAGAATGTACATCATCAGTCAATACCTAATATGACATCAAACCTCAATGATGATGTACTGGAGAGACTATCTGCTCATTACTGCAGTTTGTCACATTGGTTAAGAATGTGCATGGGCGATTGCGAATTATCTTCCTAGCCTTTAATGTTTTGATGACACTTGGGGTTTTCTTGGAATTGGCTCCCTTGTACGTAAAGCACTCTCCTAACGGGAGTCTGAGATTCACCATCCAATCCTCACAAAGTATGAGAGTGCGATTCTCACCTAACCAGTCCATACCTAATATGACATCAAAGTCTTACATGCTTAATACTATTAGTGTAACATCTATAACTCATTACAACAGTGCGACACTACCTTCCTTAACCCTATGGGTAGCCATCAAAAGCACGTGAGCAGATGTCGATACCATTAGGGTGGTTTCTAAGGGTTCCAACTTTAAGTGGGCTAGCTCAACAAATCCCTTAGAGATAAACGAGTGCTTAGAACAAAAGTCAAATAGTATCAAAGCCAAATGACCAACGACTAGTAATGTACCTATCACAATTGCGTCAGGTTTGTTGGCT